TTATTATTATTATTATTATTATTATTATTATTATTATTATCATTATTTTTATTATTATTATTATTACTGTTATTATTTCACAAAAGAGTAGAAAAAAAAATATGAAAGAAGCCAATGCTTTCAAAAAATTCAATTAATTTGTTTGCAAAAATGTCTTCAAATGATTTTTGCCTTTCATAGGAAACTATCGACGATAAAAAAAATGTTTTTCAATATTACAAATAATAAAATTAATATTTTGGGAAATAATTCCGAAAATTTTTTAAACTTTAAAAAATTTCAAATAATTTTTTTTCTTTTCATTGTAACATTTATTTGTTGCTAATCACAATTTTTCACAATGAATCAATCAAATTTAAAGAATTCTTCTTTTTTTTTTACTTTTAAATTAAAAGAAGACCAAAAATTGTGGCAAATAATGCTGATGATAGTATTAATATAACTAATTGCTTATCAATACTATATCAATATCAGAAACTAGCAATTTTTTAAGCTTATCAATATCAACTAAGGCTATCAATAATTTCGCTCTTTTTTTCTTTCTGAAGCTAAAAAAAAATTTTTTTACAGTTTATAATAATTAACACACCTTATTTGCATATACAAAATTAATAAATAATGTGAACGAATTACAATTTTCTTTCAAATAATTTATCATATTTTTATCAATTGGTGTTTCGCTTATCATACCATTTTGAAGGTGAAATTTCTCTTTACAACTTATTGCTATTAATTAAATTTAACGATCATCACTTGGAAAAGTTAAAACAGGATAAATAGTTTTAATTAATAGCATTAGCCTAGCAAGCTTCATTTAATTTAAAACTTGTCAAATTTAAAAAAAAAAAAAAAAAGGAGGGAGAGAGGAAAAGATACGTAATGCGCCAAATCAACCAAATCGAGCATCGTTTTGTTTAATTTCTTTTTTTAAGAAAAAAAAAAAAAAAAAAGGAAGTGATAATAGATATAAATACAAATACGTGTGACAGTATGACAGTATGACAGGTGTCATAACAGACATTTAATCGTTCATTTACTATTATGCTTATTTTTTTAGTTAATTTTCAATTAAAGAAATATTGATAGCATAAATTATAAAATAATTTTATTCATATAATTATATATTTATTCTTTCATTCTTTATCATTTCTTAATGATATGTTTTAATTATTAATATTTGAATAATAATTGATTTTTTTTTTTAAATAATTTGTTAAATAACAGAAAATGACAAATTATTTATATTTATTTGCTCATTTTCTACTCTTCTTTCTCTCTCTCTTCTTCTCACTCTGTCTTTTAACCTTTTTACATATATATATGTAATTACTGATTAATTTAATTATTATTAATTGATTTAATTCGAACTTAATTAATTTGTACTAAAGAATTTTGATTTAAAACGAAAAATTTTTCTCTCTCGAAAAAAAAATCTGATTTACAAAATAAACAAATGCATTCATCTATGTTGTCACTTTGGAAAATTTTTTTTTTTTTTATATTTCTATTTTAAAAAATGAAAAAAATAAGAAAGAAGTAACAAATTTTGAAATTCTAAAAAGAAAAAAAAAATTTAATAAAAAATTTTACGTTGTTGCAAAAATTTAATCGCTAAAAAATTTAAAAGTGTTTTCTAAGTTTATTATTCGAGTGATAAATAATTATCACTCACTGATAACTCATTATCAATTTTAATTTATTGCATTTAATTATTCCTATGAGAAAAAGTAAAGAAACGAATAAATAATGGAAAATCTAATAGTTATCATTTATAAATATTGTTTGTACTATAAAGTTTTTAATCTATTTCATTTAAATTCCTAAAAAAAAAGGAAAAAAAGTGCGAAATAAAAATTTGAAATTTTTAAATGAGTAAAATTTATAAATATGTATGTATTTGTAATTAATCCAATTAACATATCCGAAAATACAACAGAGCATGAGTGCGAAATTTATACTTAATCATTTTTGATTCATCCAATAGCATCAATTTTGCTTTACTAAAAATATCCCCACCTAAACTGTCGCCACCAAAAAATGTCCTCAGCTTCATTTAAGCAAACAAGATTTCATACTGATTGCATTTTTGAAAATAGATTGAAAACTACTCATTCAATAACATCTCCAATTCACTTATCCTATGTAAAACATCACAGAGGATCAATTTACCAGATTATTCGTTTGTTCGACTAAAGGTCAGATGATTAATTTGCATATTCGAATAGTTTTGGACATTAATTTAAGTTTCTTAATGTTTCCAGATCATGTTAGGTCACAAATTAAAATCCTAAATTTATGATCATAAATTGTTATGTTGTAATTCTGGATTCTTTTTTAAATTCTTTTCACTCTCATCCTTTTTGTCAATTAAATGGAAATATTAATTAACAGTTTCAAAATTATTTGGAAAAGTTTTTATGAAAGCAAAAAAAAAAATCAAAGATTAAAGGAAAAACAAAAAATCAAAATGGGATTTTTATTAAGAAGAATACAATGGCCATTAAAAAGTCCATAATTCAATTTAAGCAAAAATTTTTCATTTCTTTTTTTATGGAATTTTTAAATTCAACAAGTATTTTGTTAAAGAACAAAAAAAAAACGAAAAATAAAAAAAACGAAAAATTATCTCCAAAGTTCTGATAATTTCTGCTGAAAATTTTAAATATTTATTTTATATTATATCTAAAAAAAAAGAAAGTAATTTTACTATTTTATTTAAAATTTGTAATTTCTGAAAATTTAGATTTTTAACAGAAGAAAAAAAAGATATGAAATGAACAGGAAAAAAGACGAAAGATATGACAATCAATCTTAAATTTATCAAATTTTGTTAACTAATAATTAAAAAAATTTTTTTTTAAGTTATAAATTTAACAAATGATATTTTGTGTTGCTATCAGAGAATTACACATTTATAAAATGTATGTAATCATATTTAGTAATACAATTTTAAAATACATAAATAGTTCAGATGTTCTAAAAAAAAAAAAATTCCCTTTTTTTTTTACATCCAAAAATACTTTAAAAAAAGGAAATTTTAAAAGTTAAAAATAAATTGGCCTAATCAGTTTTTTTATTTTTTTTCTTTATCATCATAGCCTGACTAGTTTACTTTTTTTTGTTTGTCACCATAGCCTGATTAGTTTTTTTTTCCCCCTTTGTCACGATAGAGTGTATCACCATAGCATGATTAGTTTTTTTTTTTCTGTTTGTCACCATGACTCGATTAATTTGTTTTCTCTTTGTCACTGTTCTATGTCATCTTTCATATTTCATGTCCGAAGTACAAAATGAAATAAATATAAGTGTGTCAATTTTTTTGCATGCATAAACGAAAAGCTTCAACCTTTTAAAGAAGAAAAAAAAGATGAATCAATTGGTCACATTGCATTTCTTGTCACTTCTTGACATAATATTTTGGCCAATCGTTTCTGTCACCTTATCTTGAAAGCAAATTTTGACATTTTAAATTTTTGAAAACGATAAATTTTAGTGGCAGATTTCATTGATTTAGTCAATTTTATTTTTTGCAAACCATAAGAGTTTTTTTTTTCGAAACAATCGATTGATGAATTTTAGCATTTAGTTTATTTCAAATTTGAAAAATTGGAGCTGAAAAAAAATCTAATTTGAAAATTTGAAATTTACAACTTCTAACCTAATGACTTGAAAATCAATTTAAAATTTTGGACAAAAAAAAAGCGAAAATTTTCGAGTGAAAACTTAATTTTTTGAATTTGTTTTTTTTTTTGAAAAATTTTTTTTTTTTGAAAAATTTTTTGAATTTTGAATTTGTTTGAATTTGGAATTAGAATTGCATTTAAAATTTGAAAATGAAAAAAATCCCTTTAACGAACAAAAAAAAAAGCAATTTAAAAATTTTAGGAACTGTTCAAGAGCTTTAATGTGTATAATACAAATCGTTTTCCGGATCGTAAATAATTTCCTGATCATGAATAACTCCAGAAATTAGTTTCATCATAATTTCAACACTGAATTAATGATTTCTATCATTAATTTTTGCAAACAATATACCATTATCATTGTCATTTATCTTTCCAAAATATTAATTGAA